GTATGAAACATTTTATACAGCTTTTTTTCTTCGTACCTGGCTGTCATATATTATAAATATTCTTCTAAGTGGTTCTAAAAGCGCCATTAGCTCTAAAAGGCCTGGGAATATGGGTCAGTTGTCGGCGCTTTTGGATCGTTGGCCGTGAATGTGTTTACCGGGCAACTTTCTCCATAAGATTGGAAGACGGCGGGCCTCAAAACGCCATAGATAAAATCCCAAGGGGTTTGTCGCTCGTGTTAAGTTGCTCGGTAGTTAGCACGTGTTTGCGGGCCCTTTAATGGCTCGACATGATTTATGTAACGAAAGTTTTAATCCTACAAATGATAAAGTTTCACCAGAGGCGATGATTAATTAACAATTATGATTTATCATCCGGCCATTAATTGTCGTCACGCGCTCGTTTCGCTGTGTCACGCTTTCCTACCCTCTTCCTGTTGCTATTAACAATTCTTCGCGTAAAAGTAAATATTTAAATATTAGCTTTAGTTACGTCCGTACATGAAATGTAACTCTGCTCATAAAATACATTTATGTTAATTTCCTTTCGACAAACAGTTTGACGCTTCTTTCTTTCTTTAATATTATCGCAATGCACTCTACATATCGAATATGGCTGTTGAAAGTTTTCCTTTAATGGTTGAGCCCAAAGGTTCTTTTGTTAAAGGGCGAATAAAGCATCCACGTCCTATAAGAGGTTTCCTATGTGAACGTTCGTTTGAGCCTGAGGAAGACTGTCGGGATCGAAGGAAAACTTCGCTTTCGTCGATTTTGCAGAGACGAGGAGCAAAGTGGTATCGAGTGACATCCAGTCATGATGTTCTTTTCAATTTCATCCGTTTTAAACCACGATAATGGGAAGCTCAGGTGAACGATGCTGGTTACATTACTGCGTCAACGTCACGGTATCTACTTCAATCAGTTTAAACGCAAATAACAATACATGCGACAATTGCCACGTAGATCGCTGTATTCCGAATTCAACTGAATGTTTAATGATGCTTCGTTTACTGCTAATACAGTTTTAGAGAGCCGCCACGCGTGTCTGCCAATTGATTCATCAAATCATCGAAATTATTACCATATCAGATTCCGGCTAATCCAATGCGATATGGAAAATTACAACATTCCATCTTTCAAACGCTACATCAGGTGATTGCATAATCGGAAGGAAAATTTCTTATGAGTGGACTGCGGATTTTTATGCAAGATAAAACTTTTAGAGTAACGATTTAAGAAATGAGATTTAGTAACAAAGTCCTTCAATCTTTTAAACGTCACGTCATGCATTTTGCTGTTGACGTTTTATCAATTTTTTATATCCTTTACATAATGTTGCTATAAAATCCTCAGTCTAGTTATAACGAATTAACTTAGGCTTGAAGCGGAATTTGTAAGTGGTTTCATGAAGTCCTGATAAAGTAGTATCACGTGAGAAATCCTTCCTCGATTTACCGAGTGGGAAAGCTGAGAAGTATACTGTCTAACTTTTGAAGAGATTGCGCAACTTTCCTTCTCCAGGAAGGTCTAGTGTTATAGAAGTTCCGAAAATAATGGGTCGTGTTGAGAGTTTGATACATCGATGGCTTGCAACTCGTGAGAAGCTGTATGTAAGAAATTCCATAACTGAGATTTCAAAGGATGAATTTTTTTACCTCTGATACATTTATTCATTCGCACATTTCGCTAAATTCTCAATCTAATTCAATGAACAAATGAAAAAATTATTATGAACATTAAACTATAGTAATCAATGTTCCCTTATAAACATAAACGGTTAGAAAATATTATAGAATGATATGAAAGTGGACGATTATTAGTGTATACCCCGACTATCGTAAAAGTTGATAGCACAGTATTTCCATTTTAAGGTTCCTCTAGCTACCTCTGGTTGGTAAATCTGAATCGGCTGGCGGGAAATTCCCTCCTGTAGATATTACCGCTTCCTGAATATACATATGTAGATGTATAGGTATTTCCAAGGATTTCAACTACATCCTCGGTGGATATACTATATTACCACAGAAAAGAGCGATTACCGACTGTATTTTGAATCCCATTGTACCTTATTCGCTGTCTCACAATTACACAGGCGCTGCCACTTTTTGATAGTATCAATAGTATCTCCTCGGTGCTGAAAAAAATAAAAAATTATACGTATGAATTCTAGTTGTTTAGATGTATAAAAATAAGCTTGAAATTCTTTAATTTCTTGTTATTCTACACAAGCTGAAATATCGATTAAAGTTTTTGATAAATCTATGAGCTTATAGACAAACCACAGCTGGTTAGGTCAAAATACACCTAAAGATTATTATACTCTCATCAATATTTCTACCTTCCTTTGCTATATTTTCATGAATATGTACACTTGTAAAGAGAACATAAAAATTAAATTTTTATCGCGATCTGTACAAATTGTACGTTACCTTTTGCATAATTAAAATCGACAGAATTTAATGTATTATAATTCAATAAAGCCTCTACAGTTTTCTCATGTTCCGTACTCAAATAGTAAAAAGCAACGTACCATATAATCCCATTTCTTTATTCATTTCGCTATCTCATTTACGTTTCGAGATATAGCAATTTTTTTTTATATTTTTATTTCAACCCCTCTCCCTGCTTCCTTCGCCTGAAGGCGAGCTCCGCGTCTCGAAATGAGTAGAATTCGCAAAAACATAGTCATTATTGGATAAGAAATAAATTAATACTTTGGTATAAATGCATTACTTATGGAACGCAAATAACTGCAAAAAATTTTGTAAAAGACGAAAGGAGAAATAGGGAATTGTTTTCATCCAATATAAAGTTTTAATTGTTAATGCTTACAAGTAAGCGCGCTGAGTGTCGAAGGTCCTGAATGGCGGCTGAGCTATTAATCCACATTCTTTTCGTGGAGGCAGTAGTATATGTCGAGTCCCAAGAAGAGCGGCAGTAGTATGTACAACTTAAGCCAGACGTGACGTCACCCATTGACTGGAGCGTTGAAGGAAGTCTCGCAGCGCGAGTGAGTGAGAGACTTCGAGCAACAAAGACAGCGATAGTCGGCTGCCGAAAAATCGATTGTCTTTACATGACGAGGTCTACGGAAAACGGATTGAAATTAATTTAAAAGGAAGCTTGTCTCTTCTAATCGTCAAAGATCCATGGTAATTTGTCGCAAAATTATAGACAATTGAATTATGAGAATTTTTAATACGATTGCGATTCGAGATCCTCGACGAAGTAACGAAGCGATGTGGACAAATTCTATTTAGCTCGTAATTGCTATTCTCCTTAGAACTAAAATTCGAATCGGGATGAGGCTAAAAGTATTTTAAAAAGAAGGTTTCATATGGACAAACTCTGGTTCAGTAGTCTTTAATAGGTTTTTGTTTCAGCGAATTAAATTTTTCGTACGTTCGATGAAGCGATGATAATTTAAATATCTTCCCTGATACAATACAAATGTGTGCTAACAACAATACTTAATGCTTTCGAAATCTTAATATAGTTTGAACATTCATATTTTAAAAAGAAGAGAAAAAATTATTTTCTGGCTTCCAATTTCATGCATGAATTAATCGAGTAGCAAAAGTATGCTTTCTCTATATTTTATGGGATCATGAATTTTTGACGCTCGGTCTATTCTCTTATGTCTATGCAGGAATAAGGAATATTTACACAAAATAGGAAATAAAAATAACGTCATCAAAAACTGTTAGATGAAATTAGTTTATGACAGTTTATTATTCGAGAACATATGCATGTTGCTAAATTGATCGATATAAATCGGGCAATCTCCATATACATTTAAAGGGGGAAGCGATTCGCACATTTGTAGTAACTTACAATTGTAATTGCAACACGTCGATCAATCAAGCACATTGTTTTCCCATCTATACAATAGTTATGTACAGGCCATTGAGAAGAAAAGAGCGGAACGTTTACAATTAATTATTCAAACTACTATATCTATTAGTCATTTGATGTTTATCGGGAACAATTACGTGTGACCTAACAAATGCATATTACAATGATTTTCTGGTTTTAACGTAATTGTTACATGCTAATTAATATATTAACTGGAGACATTAACAACTAAACATTTCAATTGGTGATTAAAAATTTGTAAAAATTTCGCCACTTTCGTGTCTTGCGAACAATGTGATGATGTCTTGTATTACTTCCAATAGAAGTTTTTTTTAATAAATGAACAAAGAGATATAAATATTTAAAATTTGTTCAGACATCAATCAGGAGCTAAATTGTCGTCTCCAATTAACAAATCCATTATAAATATCGTCGTCTGTGTTTTTACAGTGAAGGGTACTTTTTACATTTATTGATATGTTTACTTTGTGAATGAACAGTAACATGCATTTTTCAGGTTCCGCGAGATATCTCATCAGATCCGAATGAGCCAGGTTCAACGTTAATAACGTCGTCCGTATGCACTTTTGCAACTGATGTATATAACAATAACTTATCGCGTACAATACATAATTTATTCGGCAGTTTTATATCGTAATACTGATTTGTTGCTGAAACACTTTTTTAACAGACACCCAGAATTTCGTGACGATGGCGTGATGTCGTAGCTCGAAATTATTGTAATGAAGTTTACAACCAACTGAACAGACTAGTCCGGAGGATGAGAAGACTGGTGGTCATGATGTACAGCTTGTCATATTTCTCCTGATGATTCCTTCGCGCCGCGTTCCATTGATCATGGTGAACAGCTGCCTGCTTCTCGCCTGTAGATAATTTTTAATATTACAATTGTGTTTTGGAATTCAATGATAATATGATGATAGTATAATAGGAAATATCATATTGTTAGTTATCTATTATATTATATTATATTCTTACAGTTCAAAATTTTTCTGCAAATATTTCGCGGCCGTCAAAAACCACGAATGCGAATACGCTTTTTGCGAACGTCCATTAACGTGTGTCGTAGATACATAGTATGTATACGTCACTGGTTTATATATTTTCCCCTAAATATTGAACGTGGTTTTGCGTAGGGAGACTTACGTATATGTAAATATATATGACATACATTTGACAGCTACATTTTTAAAGTACATTTAGATGTACATATACACCCACACTATTTTTTACTTATGTATAAGGAATGAGAAGTAACTGTTCACTTACAATTACATTATCAGTCATATTGACAAAATGACATATTGATTTCTGTTCCATTAAAAAATTTTATAACTATAGTTAATCTTAACATTTTTCATTCCTTGTACGCACAAAAGGTTTTATTCGCATTTCCCACGATATATCTTGACATAAAAATGTATAAAATTTAATTCAATTTACCATTCAGGACGTGAATATGTACCGCGGCGGTGCTGAATTGGCTAACTGAACACGAATATTCGCCACTGTCAGTCTTTTTCGCCTGCTCGATATACAGCTTGGTCACCAAATCTTCGTTCGACCTGAAAAATCAGCTGTCACGTTACACGTCGTATGTGACCATTACATGTACGCGTGCCAGTACATGTTTTCATCGAAAATCGTGAACGCGTATTACGGCCAACTGTTCTAACGCATGCACGTCGACGGAATATCGACGGAAATTAAAATAAATTGCAAACCGTATTGACCCACTTTCTACAAAATATCTCTACAAGGTACCAGCTTGTCGAAGATATCACAGTAAAACAAAATACTCAATCTTTATCATTACTTTTAGTATTTACTAAAGCAGGGCTGACGAATTAGCAGCTTGCGAGCCACTTAAGACTTTTGCCCCTGCTTACAAGTGCAAATGACGGAACTCGGCGAATATTGTCAGTAGTACAAACTAATAAAAAACTAACATAAAAAATAAGAGCACGAGGCAACTGGATATAGAAATACCGATCGGCAAGGGCGCATTACGGGGCTCACGGAATGCCCCAAGGGAGATTAAACGGTTCGCTCGTTATCCAGAAAGGGTGCAAGCGGACGCGTATATCGGTTCGCTGAGACGAGACGATAAAGTGGAACGTGCCTACCCTGATACGCGAGGCACAATTGCGCGTCCCGTCGATAAACGAACGTAAATCGGAACCCGCGGTCTATCTGTCGGGACGATGCACGTACAATCAATCGGACGTTGCCGCGCCGTTGTGCATGCTCACCCATTAATATGAAAAACGTTCACGTGATCCGGTAACATCTGGCCATTCTTTCTCCAGATGGGATGCGGGATCTTCGAGTCGGACCGTGATGGTCGAGCGACGCAGGTCAACTCGATACCGCTTCCGGTTTTGTAGTACCGATCGCGTAGCTCATGCCGGGCCTCGTCCACGATTCTAATGTCTGGGGCTAAAAATCGATAGAATAAGAGTAAATGTTGATTTCACTAGAATCTGTTATCAATTCCCTTATTAATATTCCCTTATTCCGTTCGGTTGTTGTTGGCAAAAATTTTAAAGTGGTCAACTGCGATGGCGGGATTTCAGATTAATTAATTCTTGAAATAATAGAACAATCCGGAATTATTAAAAAATAATTAATAAACAAAGGATGCACCAGAGCCTGGGTAGACGTAAACAAAAGCTCCAATATGCGTGCGTTTTGAAAGATCCAAAATCCAATGAAAATGAATTCGTTCACCGTGGGGGCACGCTTTGTGTCCTTTCATGATGCTTATTACAAAGTGAGAATATAGGAAATGGAGAATTAATATAAAGTAATGAACAAAGGACGTTTATTATTCTATTTATGCGTGTGCTATTTATATTTTTAACTTTTACTCACATTCAATTGCGAAGTAAAATTGGATCAGTAATTATTTTTACATATAAAATATTGATTCTTAAATGTGAAAATTACGTCAAAATTTAGTCAGATTAAGCATTGGGTAAATTAGCTATAGATTGATTAATATCTTGGGAACGGATCGAGAATCTTTGATCTAAGCTGTATGTTAAAATTTAAATATGTTTGCCCACCATTAGGTATAATTTTTAATCGCATGGACCTAAAAAGTGGATTTCCGGCACAATTGTAGCATTTTTTAATTTTGGCTTTTAAAACCACGTCATAAAATTTTCCCCGTCAATAGCCGAACAACCTGTATATGTACTCTCAAGTATATATTTTCATATTACAACATTAATATTTATGATTAATCTTATGGTGTATGTATAGTATCAATCTAGATGTGAACTATTTTCATTTATTCTTTCATTTATACTAAAATAAAAATGAATTTCGACTTTCTTAATAATACAAATTCTGCATATAATGTAACCTTGTAAGATAAAAAAAGCGCCCTATTTGAAAGTAATCTTGTTACGTCCTTGCGATGCGAGCACGATTTCATATCAAGTCACGTTGCCCGAACTGTTTTCCGTAAACGCGAGTTCATCCTCTCGCGGGAGCAAACAGCTTGGATTCGATAATTAGTTGAGTGAGCGGAAGCGAAGAAGCTTTCGGTCTGGGTAAGCGTGCAACAAGGTGTCGCGTTCATCCGGATCTTTCCAGAGGAAAAACAAAGCAGAAAATAGAGCGGTGCCGGGGAGTAAGTAAGTACGTGACGCGGTACGTGTCCTCGTTCTGGCTTATAAAGTCTACCCGACCACCGCGGGGGTTTCGAAAGATTCCCGGCCCGTAATTGAATTCTTCCGGACACGGAATTCGAACTTATTTCGGCGTCATCACCAACGCAAGAGCGTTATGTGATTTTAACCGGAAATCGATTCTCCCAACGTTCTCAATAGACCACTAGTGATATATTTTTTATAAAAACTTTTATTAAAAACTTCATTTCATCTACATGGCGACTGATAAACTGCAAACTATCGAAATTGACTTTCTTTCGAATAACCGGCTGAACTAAAAATTGACTGCTTGTACAATGATTTTGAAACAATAATTTTACCCGTAAAAAATTTAAAACGTTATGTCAATGTAGTTACACTGATGCGAAAGTTTAATAAATATCTGAGAACGCATAAGTCGTTAAGTGGTCTATCAAAAATAATAATGGAAGGAGATGATAAAGACGGGGATATGATAATTACCAACTCGTGTTCCTAGGCGCCGTAAGTGCTGAAACTCTTAAGTAGAATGCCTGAAATTCTCGAGGTAAGCGAGAGATATCGAGCAAGCTTCACACTGCAAGCCCTTAAGGGAGAGAACGTGTTCTCAGTAATACTCGTTGGTTGTTGACGATGATAAAGGAGTGCCTGCAAATTATCTTATTGTACGTTCGCAGTGCGTCGCTATCGATCGAACAGCTTGACTACGGATGTTTTTCCGATGTGCTCTAATTCAGACGAGCAGTGATTGATATCTTGTATACAGTATCAATATTCATCATCGTAAAAGCTGTTTATAAAACTTACTTAGATTTATAAACGTGATGTTACAAATTTTTATTAGAGACTCCAATAAAAAGTTAAAAATTACGTCCTTTACATTTTTATCCCATATTTCGATGAATAGCAATTTTTTAGTCATTGTACGTATTTTAATTTAATTTTATATTCCATCAGCATTAAATATTTCAGACTGCATGTTTCTCTTAGTTTACATAGAAGTGAAGAAAATAGACTTTTTTTGTACCAATATTAAGCTTTGATAACGGTAACTGCATTCGATCCAAGCGATCGTTACTCCCATGTGTATCAACGAAGTCGATCGATCAAGATGTTTCGGGTGATATCGATGCAGTTTCGTTCGTTCCTTGCCTGTTTTGTTCCGTTCCAGATAGGAAGGTTCCCAGGCGCGACTTTCCACCTTGGGCTACACGGTTTCGCTGATCTTACTGGGGTGGGAATGAAAGTCGCCAAAGCGACATGGTCTCTGCCGATAACGTGCATTTTTGCATATCGCGTTTATACTCTTCGGGACACAATATGTTTCGCTCTCGACGTGCCCTGAATCTGATGAAAATAAATGATTGATACGAAGTCGAACTTCGCTACTGCGTGATAAGGAAAAGTTTTTATTGCATTCGTTTATCAGTTGCAAATTTTCTCTTCCATTTTCGTTACCTTTCATGAATGATGATGTTACGTTATAATATAATAAGATGATTAGAGGAATTTGACTGCGATGCATTTTTTTAAAAAGCAATTTTTTCCTTAAATGAATATCTAGATTTAATAAATGTCCTGGACATTCTCAATATGTTATAGTCCATCTGATATAATTACATTATTTACATTTCATATTTTAATGACGTGAAAGAATCTCGTCTGTTTCGAATTTAGTAATTACAATAAAAAATTTTAACGAAGTGAAGGATTATGTTGATAAATAACACTGATATAATAAAACATTTTTTACTTAATACTGTCTGTCTCTTCCTGACAGTGTTATTAAAATTGCAGAATTACCTACTGTGTTCAACGAGAATTAAAATATGTGAGAGTGAGAACTAATTTAGTTCGATCAATGATGTCAATGTCGCTTCAGAAAGCATTTCATAAAAATTTCTTCTGATAAGCATACTAATATACGTTAAATCATCGCTAATTCTACATGGGAAACTTGGACGACTTTAGAAAGGTTAACGCTATACTGATTTGTTCTGAAATTCACTTTGAATCCATAGTATTCTTATTAGGTAAAGTAGTATCGGTGACCACGATAAATAGGGAAAGCGGCGTGCCATTAACTCGATTCCACAATTTTTTTAATTAAAAGTGTGGTCCGTAGTTGATGATAGCATCGAATGAAATAAACAAAATGGAGCTAAGAGGAAAAAGGAGTAAAGTGATGAATCCGGTGAACGTGGGAGACACAGAAGTTAAAGAAACAAGAAGAAACGGGTGGGGGATTTAAAGAGAGGGTGAAAATACTGTATCGAGCTTAAGATTCCACAGAGTCCGAGTGAGCGAAGACTTTCCGGCTGGAAGCTCGCGCAGAACTTTTCCTACTTTTAACCAGATTAAACGAAAGTTTCGCGTCCTCTGGTTCTTCCGTTTGCTGGATGGAATGCTAGCGAGACATCCACAAAGAGCCGACTCGCGTGCAATCGAATGACAATAGGTGACAAAAGGAACTCGGAAGAGGATGGGATACACCGAGACGGTAAAGCTGATTTCATTCCCACGTGGCTTTACTCTCTTGTATTATATCGTGTCAGGGAAGCTTATTTTTCCTTAGACTTCCTGTTGGGCTCGCGTGCTATTAACAAGAATGAAAGAAACAGGGAATCAAAGAATTCTATAAAATATCGAGTGAACTTAGTGAACGTTTTTGCATGTTTGATTTGCAGAATGTTCTGCCGATCCTTATATTCTTTATTAAGGACAATTAAATGGAGAGAAATAAATTTTATTGAACTGGCATTTAGTCTTATGAATTCAAGTGTATGAAGAAAATCGTGAATAATTATTCTTAATTAAGTAATTTTTCATAGATACGCATTGTTCTTTTTTTTCATATATTGGCAAAATATTTCAAGGTGTTTCGACATTACTTGAATCAACACGAAAGGACGTTGCAGTAAAGTTTTGAAACGATTCTTAATCGGGCAAAGAGGCAAGCAGCCTGATTGTGCTTTACAATAGGTTCACTTTGTTACCTTTAAACTTGTTCGTCAGTTTCCTATTAAACGTCGACGGAATAGCAATTTTTACAGCGCTCAAACGATGCCTAGTGAATTAAAGATCAACCCGTGGAGTTCTGGAGGCTTGGGCAAACGTTAACGAGAATTTAAAACAGGGCAGTCCCGAGTGTCCGTCGCGTCGGGAAGTTCCGAGATTGGGGGCGGATTGGATACGATCTGTAAACTCAGTCGCGAAGTGAAAATAGCAATTTGAAGTAGGCAGTCGAACGCTTCGTGTTTCCGTTCGAGAGATTCGAACTCGAGGGTTTTCGAACGCGGCAGCCTCGATACGTCGCGCCGACCCGCACCGATCGAGCGTTTTTCCGATTTTAAAAAGCGAAACGATAATTTCGGATGGCTCGGTTGTAGGAGGAAAGTTTTGTCAAAAGGCAGACGGATAAGCGATGACGCTCTCAGAATTAATCATTCTAGTCTTTTTCAACTTTCCAACTATGTAATTGAAATTCTTTTATAATTAAATTTTTCTTCCGAAGTTTAAACTCTAAATGTGAAACCATTGGACGTGTACGAGAACCTGATGCTCAGTATGGGACGGGTAGACATTGGGTCAGGGCAAGATGCATTTCAGGATTCCGGAAAAAGTTGAGATTCTGGAGAATGTTTGGTATCCTCGATTAAATTCGGGTTTCTCGATTAGGTTGTTCACGATCGGATCGAGACAAGATGCGTTCTTGAAAATTTCAGGATTCCCAAAAAAGTTGTAATTTTGGAGAATGTACGAGATTCTCGAAAGTATTGGGGATTCTTGAAAATGTTTGGAATTCGTAAAAATTTTGAGGATTCGTTTGATGTTATGAGACTCAATAAGATCAATCCTTGTGTGAGATTTTCGATACTTCAAGCGTTCTCGATAATCACATAAAATTTATTCCTTTATTCTCGTTATTGCTTATTTAATTTGTTAATGTCGAGTTATAGAGATTGGAAAATGAGGTCGAAATTATATATCAAATAAGTAATAATTATGCCTTTTAACACAAAAATTTGAAACGAAATATAATGATTATCTCCTGAATATATTTTCGAGAATCTTAAACATTTTCGAGTTCTCACACATTTATAAAAATTATCTCGTAAACAATCGAAAATCATGTCTTTTTCGAATAAAGATTATAAAGAATTCAATTAAGAGAAAGGTAACCAGCAAATCAAAGTGAACGTTTCTCTATTGCGATCGCGGATCAGTCGAGAGACTTCAATTTCGTATGATCTCAAGGCAGCAAGATGCCGTCATGTTCCCCGAGTGATTACTTCGCCGGAACAAAGGGGGAATAAAGGAAGTGCGCAATCTCGTCCACAACCGGGAATTGCAAATTCTTGTATAAATACGCCTCAACGGGCTATAAAATCGTGCGAATGCGCGCACATCCCTCGACGCGCTCCACTGCTTTTCGGTATATACCCAAGGCAAAGGGGAGTTCGCGCGAAAATCTGAACCGACGTGGTATTAAACTTTTGGTACAACTGTCGTTTGAAACAGCTTCCATATAACTGATCAGAGCTACGCAACACCAAACAGGAGATATGTACGCTTTGGATTGTTATGAACATTCGTATATGATTTAATCTAATAATGTCGATATTTGTTGAAGACAATATCTTAGATCAATTTCTCGCGATATGTTACAAAGACAAACCAAATTATTTACAAAAAATCGCAACCCATTTTATCGTACTACAAGTTTTTAGTATAAGGTTTATGAATCTCATATTAATTCATATCCATTTTGTCAAATGGATTGCTTTATATCTATACAACAAGCCTCTGGGATGTTATACATTGGGTAGATAGCAACTAGCTGAAAAGTCAAATTAATTATTTAATGAGCTATTTAATCGCAGCTGGAAATCTCGTTAGTCTGCTATTTATTCCCGAGACAAGTACACCAAAGTGCATTAAGTTCAATGACAACTCGTTCATCCAGCAGAATTGCTTCCTGGGAAGTTCGTGACAGATAATATGACCATAGGCGCTGTAATCAATAATAGAAACAATGAACAGGAACTTCGTTCAAGTATTTCTTAATGAAACATTGCTCTCGCTTGATAACTACATTAATCATACAATTTAGGAAAGTTTTAGTACGAAACAATGTATCAACTTTTAATATATGATTT